TTGAACCCCTAAATATTTTGCAATCATCCCCAAAAGCAAGATTGCAAAATTTAGACTCTTCTATATGATTTGCTTGTCTACGATATTTGGCTATATTCGTCATCGAAATCAGTATAAACAAGTTAAAAAGTATCAGTCGGTATTGCCGCCAGATATATACCCTCAGCCTATCTTCGATTATTTAAATATATTTTTACTAGTGTTAAGATTATTCAAACGTTTGACCCTCTATGGAGCAATCTATGGCCAATATTGCCCATTTCCTATCGAACCCAAAAATATGATATAAATATTGCGACAGATGTGCCAAGTCTAAATGGAATCGGATGTTAATTTGGTGTTTTATGAACTTCATCGGTACTCAAAATTTCAATATTTTATGGGGGGGGGGGGGGGGGGGGTGAAGGAGAAGGAGTGGACCGATGTATTCCCCCTTCACACCAGACCATGGATTAATACAAATATTAGGATGTGTGAAATTTGAAGACATTCGGACTTTTACATCTCATTTAATGAGATTGTAATTATTCAAAATGTTGACCGTTTGTGGGGGAGGTACTTGATGGAGTGGACCGATATTGTCCATTTTCACACCTGACCGGATGTTAATTTCACGTTTTATGAGCTTCATTGATATTAAAAACTTTGACCCTTTGTGGGAAAGGTACCAGAAGAAATGGCCCGATCTCTACCATCTTTATAACAGATCTTGTGTTGACGGAAATATTGAGATGCCACAAGTCTGAATGGAATCGGATGTTAATTTCGGATTTTATGAGCTATATGGATATTCAAAATGTTAACCCTTAGTGGGGAAGTACCACAAGGCGTAGACCGATATATCCTATCGTCATAGTAGATCTTGTGTTAGTAGAAATAATGCGATGTGTGAAATATGAAGATAACCGGATGCTTATCTCAAATCTTATGATCGTTTTGGTTATTCAAATCGTTGACCTTTTGTGGAGGAGGTACCTGAAGGAATGGTCCGATCTCTACCATCTTTATAAAATATCATGTGTTGATAAAAATTGAAATTGAGATGTGCCAAGTCTAAATGGAATCGGATGTTAATTTCACGTTTAATGAGCTTCATGGTTATTCAAAACTTTGATTCTTTGTGGGGGAGGTACCAGAAGGAGTGGGTCGATATATTCCATCTAAGCATCAGACCTCGGTTTAATAAAACTATTGGGATGTGTGAAATTTGAGGGCAATCGGACTCTTACATCACATTTAATAAGAGTTGTAATTATTCAAAATTTTGACCCATTGTGGGGGAGGTACTTGAGGATTGGACCAATATTATCCATTTTTGCACCTGACCTAGAACTTATGCTAATATTAGGATTTGCAAAGTTGGAGCAAAATCGGATTATCGCTTCTCTTTCTGTGCAGAAAATGTATATTTTGAAAATTTCGACATTCTGTGGGGGAGATACCAGAAGGAGTGGACCGATATTGCCCATATCCGAACTCGATCAAAGTTTGACCAAAATATTACGATGTACCAATTTTGGACCAAATCGGATGCTCCCTTCGGGAGTTATCGTGTGCACCAGCCGGACATCGCTAGATCGAATACAAATGTCCAGAAACGGATTTGGTCCAAAGAGACATAGGGTTAAAATCGTTATTTCAACTAGGATCGTTTTGACCGTATCAAATGATATATACCCTTTCTAGCAATATGGCTCAGAGAGGTACCAAATGGAGTGGTTCGACCTATTCCATCGTCACTCCTATTCTCATGCTGATAGAAATATTGGGATGTGCTAAGTTTGAAAAAAAAGCGAATGCTCATTTCGCGTTTTATGAACTTCAGGGTCATTGAAAATGTTGACCCTTTAATAGGGGAGGTTAGCAGAAAGAGTGGACAAATATTGCCTATCTCCGAACGCGAGCTAAATATTTTACAATAATATTTTGATGTACAAGTTTGAATCGAATCGGATACTTCATTCGAGAGTTATTGTACGCACCAGCCAGGCAGACGAAAGGACGGGCGGTCACCACTAGGCCGACTCCAAAAGACCCGAAACGGATTTGGCCCGAAGTTTTATTTTTTTAGTTAGTTTTATTCGAGCAGTCGATGAGGAAGCTGCTGCCGGATATTTATATGAATATATGAACCGTTAGCAATATTGGTGTACATGAATATAACTTCCTACAGTTTTTTGCAGAGAACTTTAATGATTTATCGGTGGAATGTTAGGGTCATCTGCACTTTTGAATATTTATTTTGATTTCAGAAAAAGGTGTTTTAAATATGGCCATGGACAATTTGTGTGTTTTGGGTTGCTCCCAAAACGAGAAGGTTAAATATAAATTTCGAAAACACCCTATTGCCATAACCATAAATCAATCTCTATTCCTGTACTAATACCATATTGAGTACTTTTCGTATATTCGTATATGATTTCCAAATTAAAGTATTGTATTTTTCTAGCGTTTCCGTCATGTGTTTATTCTTAATAACACAAAAATATTCCATATGTTAGTTATAAATTTTTAAAATAAGCAATATTTATTCATATATGTGTCCTCAAGTCCTCTCCCGATTCTATGTTGTCCAATCATTTCTAAATTCCAATCGTTTCTAAGACAAATCTCAACATTCAGAGACAAGTAAAACGTTCACATATTTTAGGGCGTTCGTAAAAATGAGCCTAAAGCGGAATGTAAGATAAGAAGAAACAGCTGATACTGGACAACACAAATATCCATATATTAAGAATATGCTATCAAAAGAGAATATAAAATTAGTAATGTGTAAACAAACAATAAAATCACATGATAGATACTGTAGTGAAGATGATCGGCATTGAAAATCAAGTGAATTGTTTGTGACAACAAGAAATTCAAGATAGTAAGAGCGATAAAACTAACCAATGATTGAAAGTAACTTAGGATTCTCTATCTATAAAAGAGGAATATATTGGTATGTTTGGTTGTTTATAACTTGTGGACTCAAAAAGGAAAAGTAAAAAATTACAAAAACCCGGTAATGAAAAGGGCGGGGCCGACTATATGATACCCTACACCACTACGCATATTTACTAGATATCCCGTAACAAAAGAATTTATTTCGAGTAAATCATATCACCTATCAATATTTGGATTAAGAGCAGTTATAATTTGATATAAAACATATATATCGGGGCTGAGTTGCACGTACGTCCCGAAATTCACTTCATTTTGACTGATATTAGCCATTATTTGCACAATAAACCTGAAATCGGATTAAGGGTATATATGAGACCTATATCCAAATCTGAAGCGATCTTGATAAAATTTAGCTGATGTATTTCCGAGCTCTATAAGATATCTGGTACCAAATATCATTGTTGTCGAATGCATATTACGAATGTGAGGGACTTAAACACCAAATCGGATTAAATATATATATGCGAGCTATAGCTACATCTGAACTGATTTTTTCCGAATTCGATGTACTTGCTTCTAGACTGAATTCGATCGGATGTACCAAAATTCGGGACTTTTGGACAGATATTCGCCATTTGATGCACAATTAACACGAAATCGGTTGAAGATATAAATGGGAGTTATACCCAAATCTGAACCGATCTTGATAAAATTTGGCAGAGATATTTCTGGGCTGTATCTGATATCTGGTACCAAATATAATTATTATCGAATGCGTAGTATGGATGTGGGGGACTTAAACAACAAATCGGATGAAACATATATATGGAAACTATAGCCATATCTGAACCTTGATTCTTGACTGATTCTCAATTGAATTCGGCCGGATGTACCAAAATCCAGGACTTTTGGACGGATATTGGCCATTTGGTGCACAATTAACTCGAAGTCGGTTGAATATATATGGAAGCTATATCTAAATCTGATCCCATTATCACCAATTTTAATAGAGTTCGTCCTTGGGCCAAAAAATGTTGTTTGAAAAATTTTATCTCAATCGGATAATAAATACGACCTCCATTTTGTTCACAAGAATACATGGACGGACGGACTGACTTGCATAAATCGACTCAGAAAGTGATTCTATGAATATCCTCAGTAGTAACTATGGGTCTATCTCGCTTCCTTCTCCATGTTACAAGCAAATGCACAAAGACATAATACCCTTGCCACTATGTGGTGTGGGGCATAAAAAGCACTTAAGCTCTGCCGGGCCGAACTTATAATTCCCTCCATCATTTGGAAGGAACTTGAAAATTAAAAAAAAACAAATCGTCGAACAATATCGTTTAAATGAAAACCGTTATGTGGAGGCTATACGAAGACGAGCACCTGCAATTTTCTGTCATAAGTTAAATTATCGATTACGAACTTTAAATACGAAATTTGAAAAAATTTAAAAAAGTAGTGAATACAGGGTGGTAATGTTATATGGAGGCTATACGAAGACGCAAATCAGCATATGCGATTTTTTTGCCATGGGCTGTAGTACCTATTACGAACTTCAGGTTAGAACATTAATACGTGGACCGCCATGACCAATTTACGAACTTAACCTGCCAATACACAACATTTTGGTATTCCACCTCAATTCTTTCTAAAGATAGCGTGATTACAGACAGAGAGACTGACATCGACTGATTGAGAATATATATACTTTTTTTTGGGTCAGACATGAGTATTTTGAGGAGTTACAAAATGGAATGACAATGGTTATATGCCCTCCATAGTATGTTGGAGGGTATAAAAATCACAATCTTTCGTACCGAAGGGCGTCATACAAACAAAGAAACTTTCGTTCAATTAAACTAAAAGTCTTGTTAGTTATCTTATCTGTGTTGTTATCTCTTCTTTATATTATCTATCCGATAGTACCTCATTCATGATTTACATAAGTATAGCTGAATCAAAATATAGAGTATTTCCAGTTCGATGTTGCCACCACTGTTTTTTTTTTTTCACTATTTAAATGTTGTTTCTCTTTTGGAAATGCATTCGGTGCGCTATCGTACTTAGTGCTTACAAAAACACTATCTTTTTTCTTGTTGTTGTTGTATCTTTAAATAACAAACGAGTTTCGCTGATAACAAACCCTCAATAAGGCAACATCTGGAGTCGAACATATTTAGAAGCAACTGGGAAGGGCGGCATCTTTCCAGCTACAGATTTCTATTCTAATTTATTTTTAATTTAAATATTGCTTTTTAATAAAAAAAGACAGAGATACCTCAGATCCATAGGCCGGCCAATCACCACCTGTATAGACTGGCATAGAACACACAACATCATCTGCATACATTAATGTTAAATCGTAAACAGAGTCATTAGACTTGAAAATCCGGATCCAGAAATTATTTTCTTTGAATAAATTACCCAGATACACGCGGCCACAAAGCTGCTGGACTTCTGCATTTGATCTGTTTTGGAAAATAAAAATAAAAAATTAAAAATAAAAAAAAACAAGAAAAGATCAACATGCGACTCTTGGCGAATAGATTATTCATATCTCAGTTGGGAGGTGTGCTCCGAACCAGAAACAAGTTCACAGCGAACAAAAATTCATTTAGTTATCAAAACACTTTCAACATGTCCACAACTAATACCGCTCTTTCTTCTTCCTCCTCCTCGTCTTCTGCTCCATCTGGTGACGATCTAAAGCCAATACTGTATTCGTATTGGCGCAGCTCCTGCTCATGGCGTGTGCGCATAGCCCTCAACCTCAAGGAGATTCCATATGACATCAAACCCATTAGTTTGATCAAATCGGGTGGTGAACAGCACTGCAATGAATATCGTGAGGTGAATCCCATGGAACAAGTGCCAGCATTGCAGATTGGTAAATATTAAACAAATTATATTTAATTAAAAATTTATAAAAAAAATATTTAAATTTTCTTGCAGATGGTCACACTTTGATTGAATCCCTGGCCATAATGCATTATTTGGAAGAGACTCGCCCCCAACGTCCCCTACTGCCACAAGATGTCCATAAACGTGCCAAAGTCCGTGAAATCTGTGAAATTATCTGCTCCGGCATCCAGCCATTGCAGAATTTGATTGTTTTAATCCATGTCGGCGAGGAGAAGAAAAAGGAATGGGCCCAACACTGGATCACCCGTGGTTTCCGTGCCGTCGAAAAAGTTCTCTCCACCTCGGCTGGCAAGTATTGTGTTGGCGATGAAATTTCAATGGCCGACTGCTGTTTGGTGCCACAGGTTTTCAATGCTCGCAGGTAAATATGCAAACGATAATTTTTTCAAAATCGAAGAATCTTTATACCCTACAAGACGTAGTGGTAAGGTTTGTAACAGGGAGAGGAAAGCGAGATAGACCCATAGTTACTTTTGAGGATCTTCATAGAATCACTTTCTGATTTGATTTATGCAAGTCAGTCCCTTTGTTTCTTTTTTTGCAAACAATATTTTTTGACCCAAGAACGAACCCTATTGAAATTGATTATAATCGGATCAGATTTAAATATAGCTCCCATATAACTTCAATCGATTTCGGATTAATTGTGCCCCAAATGTTCAATATAAATCCAAATGATATAAATTTTAGCACATCCAAATGAATTCAGTCTAGAAGCAAGTACATCAAATTTGGTGAAAATCGGTTCAGATATAGTTATAGCTCCCATATATATTTTTCATCCGATAATATGCATTCGGCAACAATGATATTTGATACAGATATCTTATAGAGTTCGAAAATACCTTTGCTAAATTTTATCGAGATCGGCTAAAATTTGGATATAGCTCCGATATACATTTTTTACCAGATATCAGGTTTATTGTTCAAATAATGGCCAATATCAGCCCAAATGGAAACATTAGTTTCCATTTTGTAGAACTCGGTTCCTATAATTTTTTTTAATATAATCCTTCTCGATGTGATATAATGTACTCTATACCAATATTGCAAAGATTAAAATGTCTCCGTCAAATTTAGTGAAAATCGATTCAGAATTGGATATGCCTCCCATGTATTAGTTCCCTCTGACACCAAACTGTAACTGCTCTAAAGACAAATGTTGATAGGTGGTGTGATCTACTTCAAATAAATTCTTTTTTTACAGGAGTTCTACTAAATATGCGTAGTCGTGTAGGGTATCATATAGTCGGCCCGCCCGACTTTTGACTTTCCTTTACTGTTTTTTTAATGCAAAGCAGTATTGGCAAATGGGAAGGGTGTAGCTGGGTATGATCAACTGGTTTTCAAGATTAAGTAGATTTTTATGATCTCTATGGAAATTAATAAATTAATTCCGATTCTGAAGATCAACTTTCAATTAATTATGTGAAATTAAATCTCGTCCCCTCCTCTGGAAAGGAAATGATGAAAAACTTACCGCGAATAAAGACAATCTTCGGTATCGTTTCCTTAGATTTCAGAATGTTAATAAAATTTGGTTAGGTTAATAAATGAACCAACGAGGTACCTAAAAATTCATTTTAAATAGGAGAGGTTCGAGCCCCTGGTTCAACTTGCGTGCGTATCTGAAACGAACCCAATATGAGGGGCAATAAGGGAACTTAAAAAATGTTTCATATCGAAATATCGATCTATATCCGATATACAGCGTTAGATAAAAAAAAAAAAACTGAAGCAAAGTCAAACGCCATAATTTTTAATTTTTTTTTCTAAATTTTATTGAATGAAAGCAAAAAATGTTGGAAATAATATTTTTGAATAAGTTTAGATTTGTTCGAATTGGTCACCTTTGGCACGAGTTATGGCCTTCAAATGGCTAATGAAACCGTCACACGCTGCCCGAATATTGCTCTGCGGTATTTTGGTCCATTCCCGGCGAAGGTCTTGCTTGAAGTGATCGATACTTTTTTAGTGCCAACCTTGCTTTCCAAAATACTCCAGACACAATAGTCAACGGATTGATATCCGGAGATTTTGGTGACCATTGTGCGCTGGAAATGAAGTGAGGAACTTCATTTTGTAACCATTCTTGCGTGCCCAAGGCTTTAATACACCATCCAGAATATTTTCGCGGTAATATTCGGCATTTATTCTCAAGCGGAGAGCGAGCATCGGCTGTTATGACGGCCCACACCAAAACCATGGCCGGCGCTTGCGTTTTGGTGGCCAACCGAAGGTGCACATTTTCAGCTGACCTCTTTGGAAAGTAAACACGATCATTTTGTTTGTTTACAAACTGCTGGACAACCAAAGTCGGCAGTTCACCACTTTCGGCCAAGCTTTGGAAAAGCCATTGAGCTCATTTTTCAATATTTGCCGAATGGAATATTGCGATATGTTCAGCTCACGAGCCATTTTTCGACCACTACGACGCGGGTTTCGATCAAGTCGCTTCTTTACTTTTCGAACCATTTTTGCTGATGTTGCTGTTTTATTCCGTCCACTTTCTTGACGTCGAGCTACGCTACCAGTATCACGGTAACGAGCGATGGTACGAGACACAAAAGATTTATTCACATTTAAATGCTGGAGTGGTCTAACGATAGCCACTTGTGATTTTCCAGCCGAATATAAAGAAATCACACTATCGCGCTTGAATTCCATCACGAATAACTTTTTTTCAGAAAAGTTTCGGCGAAGATCCGAGCCCAAGGTTCGCCCTGCGTGCGTATCTGAAATCACATCGAAATATCGATTCTAGATCCGATATTTAGACAAATTCGTTGTCAAACATTTTGGGTCGAGTTTTTGTGATATTCATGATAAATCTAATGTGGTCTGATTGGAGTATGCAAAATATAAAAAAAAAATCGGAAGCTTTTATCATTTTGTAAACGTATTATCTATTATCGCTCCAACAAGTCAGGTTTGCACTATATCGTGCACTCCATTGGTTTTATTTTTGAGATGTATGTAAGACTTTTTTTTTGAAATATTTTGAACGAAAATTGGACAGATATATTCCACTAGCTCAAAGATAGACATAACTAGCAAATGTCAGTTAAAAGTCCCCATTAAAAATTCTAGATTTGTTCCAACAGTTCGTGTACTGTTTTTGTACTAAAAATGAACACTTTTTTCAGTTTGACAAAAATTGTTTTCCCTTTTTCGGAAAGAATAATAGGAAAACTTTGACATTGTACACCAAAAAGTCTTCAAATGTAAAAGTTTACCGAGGAGGATATTGATAAAATTATCGCACAATGGACCCACATCCAATTTATCTGTCCAAAACTATTTCAAAATATCCATATGTAAACCCTAGTATTTAATTTCAGAATTTCAACTCTATCCTTCGCTCAATACCAAATTTAGCAACATTTAGCATGGATATACATCAACAACCTACATCTCTACAACAACCTACATCTACATCTCTCCATCCTAGACACCCCCAGTGATCCAAAATCACTACCATTTAGTACTCTTCAAACAGTTATAGCATAGAAATCCAGCTCTATACAATTACTCAATGCTAAATTTAGTTATTCTTTGAACTTTTCGTATACGTATATATATCGCAATTCTAGATGCCCACAATATAAAATTTCCCTTCACCCAATAAAAAATTTAGTCATTTTCGTACAATTATAGTACACATTTCCAAATCCACCTCCAGATCAGATACAAACAGAGGCCTCAATATTAAATTTCGGGATTCCAGCTCTATTGTTTTACTCAATGTCAAATTTATTAATTTAAAATTTTTTAAAAAAAAAATTATTAATTTTAAAAATTTTCGTATAATTTTAGTACACTTTTACGAAATCATCTACAAATATCGACCTCAGATACCAAGAGTGACATCTACATAAAATATTAGGATTTCATCGCTATTTCTTTCACCCAATACCAAATTTAGTTCTTTTCGTTCCGTTATAGTACGAATTTCCAAACATCTATCCGTATCTAACATCTACGGTCATCAATAGTGACACTCAAAAAAAGCAAAATTCTAGCGTCCCTTTTGTCTGGGTGTTGACGAATCATTAAGTCAGTCAATTACTTTATTATACCCTCCACCTTCATTTCAACAGATAGACAGGCAGATAGACTGACAGCGGTAAATCGACTTGGAATATAAAAATATATCCTATATTTATTGTCGATTTATCACCGTCCGTCTCTCTGTCTGTCTTTTTGCTGAAATCACGATGCAGCCCACATTATTGACGTAAAGAGTCAAAATTTAGCAGAACAATTTGTAATGTGCCTAGGGTCGTTGGTATAGAAAATGAGATATATCGATCCATGTTTTGGTATAGTCCCCACTTTTTTTTAACGGATTTATCTACAAATTTGCTATTTGTAGTTTGTAATGGGTTCTAGCTCGGTGGCGAAAAAATGTATGTATTGGTCCACGTTTTGGTATAGCCCCCATATAACGGTACCTCCCGATATTCGGTGCTTTCATAATTTTTGCCACATTTTTTAACGGATTTGTCCAGAAAATGGTATTTGTAGTTCATAATGGGTTCTAGCTCTTGTGGCGGATCATTGTATTTATAGGTCCACGTTTTGTTATAGCCCCCCATATAACGGTACCTGCCGATATTCGATATTTTAAAGATTTTTGTACACAATTTTTTCACGGATTTGTGTAAAAATTGGTATTTGAAGTTCATAACAGGTTCTTGCCCGGTGGTAGAACATTGATCATTTACCCTAAGGTGGAGGGTATTAAAAGTTCGTTAATGTTTTTATACCCTCCTCCATACCCTAAAATAGAAAATTGTCTGTGCAAGTCCATGTCTTCGTATAGCCCCCATATAACGGTACCTCCCGATATTCGGTACTTTGATGATTTTAGCGACCTTTTTCCCGGAAGTAATTTAAAATCTGGTATTTGAAGTTCAAAATGGATACTACACCCTAAGACAGAAAATTGTCTGTGCAGGTCCACGTCTTCGTATAGCCCCCATATAACGGTACCTCCCGATATTCGGTATTTTGATAATTTTAGCGACATTATTCACCGGAATTGTTTCAAAATTGGTATTTGAAGTTCGTTATGGGAACTACAGTCTGTGACAGAAAATTGTCTGTTCGGGTCCAGGTCTTCGTATAGGCCCCATATATCAGTACCTCCGGTATTTTGACTATTTTAGGTACAATACCCACCGAAATTGTTTCAGATGTGGTATTTGAAGTTCGTGATGGATGCTACAGCCTGTGACAGAAAATTGTCTATGCTGGTCCAGGTCTTCGCACAGCTCCAATTTAACGGCACCTCCTTATATACGATATTTTGATGATTTTAGCTACATTATTCACCGCTTATTTCAAGTTTCGAATTTGAATATGGTAATGGCTTGTGACAAACAATGTATTAAAAGTTCGGCCCTGCCGAACTTACTGCTTTTTAACTCGTTTTATTTATTTTTTATTCTCGACATATGGTAGATTTTCTGCTGCAATGGTAGATAAAATTATAACCTGGCATACTTAATCATTATAAAATTTATTAATTTTCACATTCACCCTTTTCTTTGCAGATTCCATGTTGATTTGCGTCCCTACCCGATCATCTTGCGCATCGATCGTGAATTGGAGAGTAATCCAGCATTCCGTGCTGCCCATCCCTCCAACCAGCCTGACTGCCCACCTGAGTTGCCAAACAAATAGAATTTTCCGCAGCCAACTGCAAAGCGACGAAAAACGAAAAAATAAACAAATTTGCAGTTATGAACAAAAAAACAAAGAAAACGAACAAAAATATGAAGACAAACAAGAAAACAACAACAAAATAAAGTACATAACCTCTTAAAGAAAAAACGATGATGGAAGTTCTAATGAAAACAAAACACAATTAGAGATTATAATTTCAGTTTTTTCTTTTTCTTTCGATTACCGATTTTTAAATTACATAATTATGATATTTATATAAACAAAACAAAGAGTAATAATAATAATACTAATAAAGTAACAGCACATGATGTGATGATGGCAGTTGCCAACCGCGCAATGTAGTAACGTTTAATAAACGTTCATAAATTAAAAATTGGAATGGATGCTAGACAAACAAACGAATTGAAAGTTTTTGGAACTCAAAGATGGATTTTATTAAAAAACGAAAAGAAGTTAATAAAATTTGAAATTATTTTTTTTTTTAATTTGGTAAATTAAAAAATACATTTTCTTGGAAAATTAACATAAAGAAGAAAATACATTTTAATAACACACACACATATATAGGTACAGTGGGTTGTAAATTGTCAAAAAAAAATTTATTTCATAATTCGGTAATAAATTTTTATAAAATTTAATTTCAGGAAAATTGACTATAGAGGGTGAGATAAAAGAACTGCAAAAAAGTCAAAAGCACAATTTTTACATTTTCTTTAAATTTTATTAACTGAAAGCAAAAAATGTCAGAAATTTCATCAAATTTTAGAATAAGTTTAGATTTGTTCGATTTGGTCACCTTTGGCACGAATTATTGCCTTCAAACGGCCAATGAAACCGTCACACGCTGCCCGAATGTTGCTCTGCGGTATTTTGGTCCATTCTCGGCGAAGCGCTTGCTTGAGGGGATTGACACTTTGGTATTTTTTAGTGCCAACCTTGCTTTCCAAAATACTCCAAAAACAATAGTCCAACGTATTGGTATCCGGAGATTTTGCGGGCCACTGTGCGCTGGAAATGAAGCGAGGAAACTCATTTTGTAATCATTTTTGGGTGGCGCGTTCTGAGTGTGATGGTGCTCAGTTCTGGTGGAATCTCAGCGGAAAGTCTGCGGCAAAAATTTTTGCGTGCCCAAGGCTTTAATACACCCCCCCAATATTTTCGCGATAATATTCCGCATTTATTCTGATGCCACGGAGCGAGCGACCATCGGCTGTTATGGCTGCCCACATTATCACCATTTCCGGCGTTTGAGTTTTGGTGGTCAACCGAAGTTGCACATTTTCAGCTGACCTCTTTGGCAAGAAAACACGATCATTTTGTTCGTTTACAAACTGCTGGACAACGAATGTTTTCTCATCGGAAAAATCAAATTCGACAGTTCACCACTTTCAGCCAAGCGAAGCAACTCTTTAGCTCTTTTGAGTCTATTTTCTTTCTGTTGCGGTGTAAGTTCTTCCACTTTTTTGAATTTCAATGGCTTTATCCCGAGCTCATTTTTCAATATTTGTCCAATCGAATATTGCGGTATGTTCAGCTCACGAACCATTCTTCGGTCACTGCGAGGCGGCAAAAGATTTATTCACATTTAAATGCTGGAGTGCTCTAACGACAGCCACTTGTGGTTTTCCAGCCAAATATAAAGAAATCTCACTATCATGCTTGAATTCCATCACGAATAATTTCTTTTTTATACGCGTGTAAAAAATATAATGAGCTGTCACTGGAATAATTTTAACAGCTGTCGGACGAGTGGCTTAGAAATGACAGCAGTCTGAAGTTGGTTGCAGTTTTTCCATCTCGCCCTGTAAATAGTACTTTTTGAGAAGATTTACTATAAATAGTACATTTTAAGCAAATTTCAAGAAAATTTACTAAAAATAGCAAATTTCAAGAAAATTTACTAAAAATAGCAAATTTCAAGAAAATTTACTATAAATAGTAAATTTCAAGAAAATTTACTATAAATAGTAAATTTCAAGAAAATTTACTATAAATAGTAAATGTTAAGAACATTTACTAAAAATACTACAAATAGTAAATTTCAAGAAAATTTTAAGAAAATTTACTATAAATAGTAGATTTCAAGAAAATTTACTATAAGTAGTACATTTTGAGAAAATTTACTATAAATAGTAAATTTTGAGAAAATTTACTATAAATAGTAAATTTTGAGAAAATTTACTATAAATAGTAAATTTTGAGAAAATTTACTATAAATAGTACATTTTGAGAAAATTTACTATAAATAGTAAATTTTGAGAAAATTAACTATAAATAGTAAATTTTAAGAAAATTCACTATAAATAGTAAATTTTAAGAAAATTCATTATAAATAGTAAATTTTAAGAAAATTCACTATAAATAGTAAATTTTAAGAAAATTCACTATAAATAGTAAATTTTAAGAAAATTTACTATAAATAGTAAATTTTGCGAAAATTAACTATAAATAGTAAATTTTGCGAAAATTAACTATAAATAGTAAATTTTGCGAAAATTAACTATAAATAGTAAATTTTGCGAAAATTAACTATAAATAGTAAATTTTGCGAAAATTAACTATAAATAGTAAATTTAAGAAAATTTTCTATGAATAGTAAATTTTAAGAAAATTTACTATAAATAGTAAATTTTGGAAAAAAAAAGGATTTATAGTAAATTTCTTTAAAATAAGGAAATTTCTTTTAAATTTACTCTTAATAGTAAATTTTTAGAAAATTTACTATAAATAGTAAAGCTTGAGAAAATATACCATAAATAGTATGTTTTGAGAAAATTTACTATAAATAGTAAATTTTTGAGAACATTGACTGTATATAGTAAATATTGAAAGAAAAAATTGCGATTTATAGTAAATTTCTTTAAAATAGAGAAATTTTCCTAAAGTTTGCTATAAATAGTAAATTTTGTGAAAATTTGCTGCAAATAGTACATTTTGAGAAAAATTTTCTACAAATTGTACATTTTGATACAAAAAAGTTAATTTTGTGATGCTATTACCACTGTGACCCACTGTACCAAAACATAAATTACACTTTTAGATTTTATAATTTCTATAAACTTCAAAATTACAAATTTAAGAAAAAACAAAAAACTCATTAACATTACAAAAAAAAATTACCAAAAACACATACACACCCAAAAAATAAATTACTTTGTACGAAAAGCAAAATTTAATTCAGGGATTTTTCAAACAAAAACTATTTTTAACAAAAATACTCAACAGTAAAACTTAAAATAAAAGCATCTTCTAATAAAATACTAAGCGAATCAATTTCATTACAAAAGAAAAACAAACGGATTCCATTAAATGTAACTGAAAGAAATACAAATACATAACAACTAACTTTGAAAAGTACAAAATATCTTCATAAAGCGACAACAACAACAAAAATAAATGCATTATTTGAAAAAAAAAACATAAATGACAACTTCATTATTTGTAAGAAAACTAAATAATATGGAAATTTCTTAAAATAACTGCATGGTACAAAAACCTTGTTCACCAACTCCATCCTTTCATTCACTTGGTTTCGAAGAGATCGGGCTATGATCCGAGTAGGTTATAAGGCTTTTATCGATTTTTCAATAAAAACATTAATATTTCTTTATACTATAAAATAATCATCCATACAAAGAAGTTGATAGTCATGGGCTAAAACAGTCTATTACATTTAAAATCGTTCATAAATCTAAGTTGTAGATCTTTCAACTACTTTATTTCGAATTCTGAAATAAATGATCGATATTTCTTCCTTGCTTCAATGTAGAATAATATCGTACATATTGTAAAATCTTATGCTCTGACCAAGAACCTGCAAGAATTTACTATTACCATATTTTCATTTTTTTAACTGGAAACCCATCCTGCAACCCAACACTCATTCTAGACGTGTAGACTTATTGAAGAGAAGGAAAATAAAATTGTGGTTTTCTTATACCCCAAGTCAAGTCTTATACCTCCATGTAGCCATGGCCAAAAATTGTAGTGTCATTTGCTAAATTATGACAATTTTTAACGTTGATTTGAAAAAAAAAATATATTTTTTTTTTCATAATTAAATATTAACGGAGTAGGAGTTACATCCCAAATATTCGGTTATCGATGGAACTCAAAGAAGCTATTTATTCCAAGTCCGAGGAAAACGAATTTCATTCTTGAACTTTAATATCGAAATATTGGAATTTCATAATAATAAACAGATGATTTATTTTAAGTAAATCTCAGAGAATTAAAACACCTGAACAAAAAGCTGAATAAAAATTCCTAGTCACAGCGAAATTAAACATTTGAGCAAAATTCAATCTTTCACATCCCTCATGGGGCAGAGAATATAAAAGGCGAGAAAATGACAAAATATCCGCAATATTAGTAATTTTTTCTGATGTATGCCCACATCTAAGGAAGAACTAAACAAGTAAAAAAGCTGTAAGTTCGGCCGGGCCGAACTTTTAATACCCTCCACCATTTGGTACAAATTTGGCAATTTCCAAAAAAAAATAAAATAAATAAAAAAATAAAATAAAAAAAAATCCTTTAAAAATTCTGTTAAAATCTTAAAAATACCGAATGTCTATACGACGACGTATACATGCATAGGCAACTTTTGTCATAAGTTATTACAACATTTAAATGCGAAACATGAAGAAAAATTTGTTTACAAAGTAGCTAAAATCATCAAAATACCGAATATAGGGGGTTCCGTTATATGGGGGCTATACCAAGACGTGGACCTGCACAGACAATTTTCTGGCATGGGCTGAAGTATCCATTACGAACTTCAAATGCGAAATTTAAAACAATCCCGGTAAATAATGTCGCTAAAATCATCAAAATACCGAATATCGGGGGGTACGGTATATGGGGCCTATACGAAGACGTGGACCTACATGGTACATTTTCTGTTTTCTGCTGCAGTATCTATTACGAACTTCAAATACCAAATTTGGAACGGTTCCGTTAAATAATGTCGCTAAAATCATCAAAATACCGAATATCGGGGGGTACGGTATATGGGGGCTATACGAAGACGTGGACCTACATGGTCCATTTTCTGTTTTCTGCTGCAGTATCTTTTA